TGGGCAACTTGGCAAGACCTCGTCTCTACAATAAAATTAAAAAATTATCTGGGCATGGTGGCACATGCCTGTAGTTCTAACTGCTTAGAAGGCTGAGGTGGAAGGATTGCCTGAGCCCAGCAGATCGAGACTGTGATGGCCATGAGGATGCCACTGCACTCCAGCCTGGGTGACATAGTGAGACTCCAGCTAAAAAAAAAAAAAAAAAAAAAAAAATAATTTTATTGAAGGGACACTATAATCACCAAATTTAGTGAGAAGCCAACTGAAATGACAAACATACTTACATAAGAAGCAATTATGGAGGGTTTACTTTACAAACCAAGTATCTTCCTGTTGGTAATATCACTTCTCCACTTCTGCAGGTTTCTAACAGAACTATCTATACAACACTAATGTTACTGAAATGTATTCAGAATTTATTATAATGATCCAATTCTATATTTGCCTGTCTCTCTATAGTACCATGTTATTGGGATGTGACTATTTGAATGAAGGATTAAATGATTTCTCAAAGTCAGGGCATAATTCTTCAAGATACTGTCTTTGCTATGAGAACCCACTAAAAACAACTGTAACACTGGAAAGTTTAAGCCATATTTTTATCTCATAGCATGCTTTTATTTTTAATTTACTGAATTCTTGGTTCTTTATATGTTGATAGCATTGCTAGGTTAACTATAAACCCATTTCTTTATTATTCTTTTATTCTACGTTCTCTATTCGTATGGCTAGTTATGCAGGATAAGACCTTGGCTCTTAGTTGATCACCAGCTTGATTTCTTTTGTACTTTTGCTCATCATACTCAGCTAAACAAAGCCAAACAGATGCCCCTGACAGAGATCTTTATTCAGTATAGTCAGATCTCCAGTGGTCACACCATCATGACCAGTTGTTTACCCACCAGAAGAGAATGTAGATGGGTGTGTGGCCCCACCAGCACAGGAGTGCTCTGTTGTGTCTGCAGTGGGGGATGCACCCCAAGACTGAAGCACAGTTTGGGGAGTGGCAGCCACTGACTACGCCCATCTGGAGTCCCCCTCAGGTGTCTCTGCTGAGAAGAACTGCCTTGCCCAAGGGCTTTCCCCTGCTCAAGGTTACCACACACAGTGGCTCATCCTCTGAATGGGATAAAGACCCAGTCCATGCTTCCATGGGGAGCAATGCCGGGGAGCACCCTGGGTGCAGAACTCCCATGAGATCACCAAGACCTTTGCAGTGACAACCTTGCAGTTCCGCTTGTGCCTCTGCTAGGTCCACTTTCTTTGCGCTCCCGTGGGCATGGATCCCCCAGCACCCTCAATAAACTCCTGCACACACATTTCACCTCTAGGTGTTTCCTGGGAACTTGCCCTGAGACCGTGTCTCTTCCCCAAGTTCAGTGTCTGCTGGACAGGTGGTGGTGACACTTGCTAAGCTTCTAGCCAAGTCTGCCTCAGAGCTGCCCTGCCTGTCCTCCAGGCCCTGCCCTGGGACCTCTGCCACCATCCACCTTAGGCGCCTGGTAGAGCATCAGGAATGACTTCACTGCCCTCTCTGCAGGAAGTACTGGCATTCCTGGGAAAATCACTTGAATCTACTCATAATCCTATTCTGTGAACCCCATTTCTAGAGAAAGTTGATCTTTGAAAATGACAGTGCTTGGAATGCATGAAAGTGACTTCTTTTTTCAAGGGAAGCATTGAAAATTGCATTGCTGGGTATCTGGTAGTGTGACTCTTGGCCTAGGAAAGCTAAACTCAAAAGAGTTGGCAGCAGAAAAACCTGGAGCTCTCGCAGTCACTGAGGTATGGGGTTTTGGTCTCTGCCACTTGATACTCTGGGTTATTCTTTTCAAGTGATTTAATGTCTCCCTCTCTCCGTTTGTCAATCTGTAAAATGAGTATAAAAATACCTGCCTGTTATTTAGCAAACCCTCGTGAGAACAAGTTGTGAAACAACTTACGGGTTTCTGGTTTTTGCTTTTTTCCCCTTCAGTTTAAATAGAGAAAGATATATTCTGCAACATTTTGTTAAACTTGAGAGTAGTATCTCAACATAAAGAAGGAAGAAGTGATATGTGCATTTGAAACACTATACTGATGTGTTGGTGTGTGGACCCCAGCAATCGGCACCTACCCTCTCACTGGGCTCCCTCCCCATGCCAAGTCAGCCCTGGGGGCCTGTGATCATGACCTCCATGACATGGGAAGTGAAGGGAAGTTGGAGCCTCTGTGGGCCAGTAGCCTCCCTACACACATGACCCTCCTGAGGTGTACACCACCTCTGGGTCGCCTCACTGCACTCTGCAGTTCTACTCCTGACCCATGGTAGTGCCAGCCAAATCACAGGCATATTCCAGACTCCAGATGACAGGCCCTCTGCCCAAGGATCCCACGGCACAGAACCGGCCAGCTCTGCCCTGGCACACAACCGGCCAGCTCCTCCTCGGTCCAGGAGGAAAGACTCAGAGCTGTCTTCTGTTGCTGCTTTTCAAATGCTTTCAGACATCAGCCTTCTAGAATCCAAAATGCAGGGCCTCTTTTCTCCTGAACATCACCTTCAGTTTAGTAAAGTAGCTATTGTTAAGATAGAAGACTTTTGTTTTTTGTCATGTATTGTTATTTTCTTGGTCAAATGGACCTGTATTCTATTAGTATTATCTAATATTGTCTACATGAGAGAAAGCTTGGCTTTTATTGAGTGTTGACTATGTGTAAGGCACTTGGTTAAACCCTTTAAGTGCATTATTTTATTTTACCATCCCCATTGTCAGATGAAAAAACTGAGGCAGAGGGATTAAATAAAAGCTTGGTTTGGTGGAATTGGGATTTAAACCCTGGCAGTCTGGCTCCAGAATATGCATCCTTAGTCTTTTTTTTTTTTTTTTTTTTGGGTTGGGGT